CCCCCCCCCCTTGGGCTTAGAAGGTTTTTAATTCTGAAGGCAGCAAACCCAAAGAGCTGCAAGGGTCTCTGCCACCAACCCCTGCCCCTCCTACCCCGCGAGGCTACTTGACAGTCTACACACAATAAAACCCCATACATTCCAAACAGCACAACGTAACCCAAACCCGCCAGTGACTCCAGCGCGTCCCATACCTGATATGCAGACGATGAAATTGGCTTGAAGAAGAAAAAGCACCTCCCAGACTATTTCCATCCTCTGATTCTCATTCCAAGTGCATCACTCGACGGGAAAACAGGGGGGGAAGGGGGAGCCCGACACGGCACACACACATACAAACACGCACACACTTGCAAGCGAGCGCACACTCGCACTCCCACCCGACAGCCGGCCAGGGACAGTCACCCCCAAGATCAATATCGCAGTTTGAATTGTTCCGGCAAATCTCCCCTCGGGCTGGACGGATGTGCGCCCCAGATGTGCTGACACATGTCCGATGCCTCGCTGCCCCGGAGGTCTCCCCGATCGCCGGTCTCTGCTCCTCGCACGAGAGGCGGAAACAGCACTAGCCGCGGTGGCAGCAGCCACCTGAAGCCACCAGCGCCGGGTTCTTCCTGCAAAAACGAGACCCCGATCCGCCTGGCGCCCCAAGAAGACATAGACGATAGCCCCCCGCCGGGCCGCGCCGCACAGTTCCGGGCCCCCGGCGCTCGCAGCTCGCTGGCTAAGCCCAGGTAGTCCGCGACAAGTTGCCCTCGAAGTCCGCCCCCCTCACCGGGGCATGGTCAGAGGCTGGCTGCCGCGCTCCGGGGCCGCTCTCCTCCTGCTTCCGGGGGGCGGGGGTTGGAGACGACACCGCAGACAGGGGAGACAGAGAAAGAGAGGCAGGAATTATTGCCCGAAACCGCCGGCAGCCTCCGCGGACCCTCCCTGCTCCCCAAGTCCACGCTCAGCCCGCCGCCTCCGAGCCCGGTTCGGGCGGCGCGTCCAGGGCGCCGAGCGCCGAAGGCGGGGTGTCTGGGACCAGAGCGCGTCGGGGACCCGGGCGCATCGGGGGCCCGCGGGCTCCCCACGTCGTGCGCGCGGTTCCCGTTCCTCTGCTATTTTCCTGGGCTCCTAGGAACCCCCAGTTGTCTCGCTTCCATCGCCCGCAACTAGTGCCGCCGCCGCCGCCGCGATTTTCCGCAATGCAACTGCAGGGGTCGTTATTTCCTCGCCTACGGAGCCCGACGCTGCCCGATTCGGATGGGAGGAGGAGGAGGAGGAGGAGGGGGCAGCCCGGCCAGGTGAGCGTCCCCGCCGCCGCCGCCGCCGCCGCCGCCGCCAGCCTCCGCTGCAGCCCCGGCGCCCGGGGGAGGAGGCAGGAGGCCGGGCTGGGGAGCCGAGGCTTAGCGCGGCCAGAAGGAGGAGGCGAGGGCTGGGCGACGGAGCTGCGGGCCAGTGCGGAGGCTCCTGGGCGCCGGCCGCTCGGTCGCCCTCCAGGATTGGGGAGTTTCTCATCTCCTCGGAAAGATTGGAAAGAACTTCGCGCCAGCCGCTCGGGCGCGGGAGACCCGGGAGGGACTCAGCCGGGGCGCTGTGATGCGCTCTCCCTCTGCTGCGGAATAGTGGGGATTTTTTTTTTTTTTTTGCATAATTCATTCCCTACCCTCTCCCTCTCGTCCCTTTCCTGCCCCCCCCTCCTTCCCCCTTTCCGCTCCAGTGCCAGAACACTACTTACCCCAGAGTTCTCCTCTCTCAACGCTCCTAGACCAGGTGCAACTCTCGCCCGCGAGTCCCTCACCTCCCTCCTCCCCGAAGCGGGGAAAAAAACCGTCTTTCCAAGTCCGGGCGCGAGCAGGGGCCGCCGCCAACTGCGCCTCTGCTCAGCTCCGGGCGCATCCGAGACTATTGGAAACCCGGGCTTTACGGGAGCGGGCTTCCCTTCTTTTCGGTCTTTTATTCTGTTTTTGTTTCGGGAAGCTCAAGTGCTTTGGAGGTTTTGCTGGGCTCCAGAATACTCTCTGCCAGCGACACTCAGCAGCTTCCACCGAAGGAGATTCCCCCCCCCAAATCCGCGCGCGCGCGCGCACACGCCCAGCGCGCGGCTCTCGGAGGCCCCGGGGGAAGGTGGGGGCGGCGTGAGCACCACCCACCGCAGTGGCCGAGGCCGAGGCCCAGGCCGGAGGCCGCGGGTGCGCAGAACGGCTCTCCGCGACCCGGGGAAGGACGAGCACCCGAGCAGCCGCTTGGAATGCAGATGCGGGGGAATTGGGAGGAAACCCTGCGCTCGGGACTGTTCGCCCGAGAAGAGGGCTGGGAGCGAGAGAAGAAAACACAAATCGTAGCACATTTGCATTGCCTCCGTCGCCGCAGCAGTGTTTTGAAAAAGCCCCAGACCTACCTCTTTGGGAGTGCTGAAGAAGAGGAGGGCAAGGGAGGGGAATCCCCGAAAAGATCTCGGATTTCTCGACGCGCTTGTCCGGATTGCAAACTGTGACGTTTGGAGATTTTGCACAAGCGCGGATGGACACACACAACAAACACAAACACACACGTAACCCGCAGGGGATGTTTTACACTTTTTTTGGGGGGGGGTGTTTAGAATCCATTTCAGTGTGAGTCTCGGTTTAATAACCGCAGAAAGGGTGGATAAGGGGGAGAGGGAGAAGGAAAGAGGGTACCGTTCATCCGCACACCGTTTTGTGAGGCTTCCAGGCTGTGTGGCTTCTGGTGGGGCAGGGTTGGAGCCAAAGGAGTAACACTGCGGCGCTCCCAGGCTTCTTGAACTGACTCCAAATGCCCAGGAGTCTGGCGGGTCTTTTGCAGAGTGGCGGGGGGGGGGGTGGGGGTGGAGGTGGGAGGGAGAGGAGCCGAACAGCCTGAGCATCCTGGGTTGCGTCGGCTTGGGGAGCTGCGTAGTCCTGATGCCTCTGGGGTTTGGGAAGAAAAACCACCTGGAAGACTTGCTTTAACAAGGAGGTGTGGCCAAGGACTCCAGGTGGTCAGCACATGAAACAAATCTAGGCCCAGGTGAAGAAAGTCCAAGATTCTTACGAAGGGAGTTTCCGAGGCTCTCAGCAGGGAAGTATTTGAGGCCTCAGAACATTTAAAGAATCTAAGATAGTGAGAATTAGCCCATTTAGGAAATATTTGGGGGATGTTTGTCTCCGTGCCTTGAAAGTCGACCGCGCGAAAGGGATTTTTGAAGGGAAAAAGCAAGCCGTTTGCTAAAAATGAAGAAATCCCACCCTAGCCAGGGTTTGTAAACATGGACAGTGACTGACCTTCTGCACTTGGGAGTGGAATTTGCTGCCAGCAGGAGAGCTCTCTCTGGAAGCAGAAGCAGGGTGCCTGGATTTTTATACCAAGACCCATTTATTTATTAATGAATTATGCATACATTAAGCGAGCACCTTGTATGTGGCAAGCACTGTGGCAAGATGCTGGAGTTTTGTAATTGAAAAATCCATAATTCTTTCTTTCAAAATGCTTACAGACCATATTTTCTTCTATATTTTGCCTTAAGAGCCAATGCTAGTAAAATAATACTTAATTTTCCCCTCTTCAACTTGTGCACTGACCTTCTGCACTCTCAAGGAATATTTAGTCTATTCTCTGCCACCAAGTCCTTCCAGTAAAAAAAAAAAATCAATCCATGTAATAGTATTTAAGCAAAAATAGTGGCATGCATTGCCAAATCCCTTATGTGAATTATCTTAATTATCATTATGTCTGTATGAGAGAAATATTATTACTTCCATTTTACAGATGATGAAACAGAGCCCCAGACTAGATACTTGCCCAAGGTGTCACAGTTATTAATTGGTAGTGTAGAGATGAGAGCCAGGCATTTCAAACTCAGAGGACATTCCACACCATATCCCTTCATGCTCTGCAAAATGAAAAGTATCATCCCGGGGAGATTATTTTATATTTAGGTGAAGCAGAAGTCCTTAAACAAAGGCAGGGTGGAATGTAATGTTATCTTATGCGGTTTAGAACTTAACTGCTGTCAAATTGAGAGAAAGACAAGATCACTGGGAATTAGGGATAATCAAAGGCATTTCTAATGAAAGAATCTGAAAGCCTGCTAACGGCCAATTCTGTTCTCTGTACTTGGAAGACAGCACTGAACCCAACAGTTCCTCAACATTTAGTTTCAATATTCTTATTTTCTAGAAGAAAAAAATTTTTTCTTGAGTCATTGCTAGGCTTAACCTGTATGGTTTTTAAGAAAAGCTCCATGTTGGGGTGGCTGGGTGGCTCAGTGGTTAAGCGTCTGTCTTGGGCTCAGGTCATGATCCTAGGGTCCTGGAATCAAGCCCCACGTTGGGCTCCTTGCTCAGTAGGAAGCCTGCTTCTCCCTCTCCCATTCCCCCTGCTGTGTTCCCTCTCTCATTGTCTCTCTCTCTGTCAAATAAATGGATAAAATCTTGAAAGAAAGAAAAAGAAAGAAAGAAAGAAAGAAAGAGAAAGAAAAGCTCCATGTTAACCCAGAAGATAACTCAGAAAAAGCATCTACTAAGTAGGAACCTTCTATCTTCACTCATTATTGAAATGTTTAGTTTTTCAGTCTACAAAACAAATGAAAAAATAACAGTGTAGCTGAAAATATTAATTCATAACAAGTTTTTTCATATTTTAATGAGCTTGTACCCATATCTTGGTAACAACAGAGAATCTCTCTCCCCAATATCTGCCTTCATCTTTTGTCTCTGTCCTATCCTACATATCTCTCCCCTACAAATTCAGTGCAGGTATGCTACACATATAATAGAAAAGTCTTTCCTGAGCCCCACTGTGGGGGCCAATTCCAGTTTCCCATAGAAAGCAGGGGATTGCAGTTATCCCCGGGAAAAGACAATATTGAAATCCTTTGGATTTTCTCTCTACCTTCTCCTTTTGCCAACCCCATCCATAGAAAGAAGAGTGACTTCTCTGATTGATAAAATTTTTGCAAGCTGGACATCCATTAAGACACATTCCCCAGAAGCTGAACATCTGTATTAGGAGCCAAAGCAGATCCATCTCTCTTGATGCACCTGTGCTCAGGCACAGTGGGTTCACTATTTCACCAGTCTCCTTGCCATATCTAATTCGGAAAGAATAGTGGTTGTCTAAGGGAGGCAGAGGAGTGGAGAGGGCCAAGGAGGGAGGGGTTACAAAGGACTGCAAAGAAACTTTTTAGAGTAATGGATCTATAAATATCTTAATTGTATTAATGACTTATGGGTGTGCATATACGTCAAAAGTTATCAGATTGTGCACTTTCAACATGTGCAGTTTATTTTGTGTCAATTATATCTCAAAATTATGCCTCCAAAGGGATGATTCACTTTTACAAATATAAGAGAGATTATAATCATAAATAATCATAAATAGATGTATTTAATAAACCATGGCTAGGCTAGGCTTGGAGAAGCTTAACCTCAGTGCACTATTGTTGTTCTATGTGAAATGTACTTACTGCTAAATTTCTCAGACTTTGAGAAATTAAACACTAAAGGAGTTGTTCTTTCTTTAGTTTGGCAGCTGTGTAAAGAAAGGGCTCTGATGTATCTGTGTCTTTATCTGTTTTACAGGTATTGGAATAGGATGTTATAAAATCATTATCCTCTTGGGCATAAACCCCCCTGGTATTAAGTGGGAAATGTTCCCTCGAAGGTAGTAGAAATGATCCATTCAGTCATTCCTGGAGAGTGGAGGACCTTGGAGAAGAAATGAAAACTTGGGAGCTGAGTCTTACAATGAGCTGATCAAAGAATACTTCTTTTCAGAGCTAGGATGAGAGGCAAAAGAGTCTGTACCTTCAGGAACATGTTCCATGGTGATGGGAGACTGCATCCTGCCTCTAAGACGCAGGTTATGAACTAGGGGGTTCGAGAAAGCCTTATAGTAAGGCGGGAACATACCCTGAGGGAAACCAGTATGATTGGCATGTAATTCTGTTATCTGAGAGCAATCATCTAGTAACCAGTTAAAAGTTAGTCCCTGAATGTTTTTTCCTGTCTGCTGTCTCATTAGATGACTATTGATGAACGTTGTAACATAGTGTAGGAAAATTCCTGTGCCAACATGGGCTCCAGTACAGCCATTCCAAAACCGATATGGAGATGGTAGCAGAAGCAAACTCTTGGTGGTACCCCAAACTGCAGAGTGTGATGGCCAGTGACACCAAGGGCAGTCCACTGGCAAAACAGAGAGCTATGTGGAAGGAAGAGGTGGGTGATGGTGAAGACCCTCGTGATGACGTGGT